ACCTACTTACCCTCAGAAATGGTTTAGCTTGGCTATATACCAATAATCAGGACACTGTCAAAATCAATCATACTATTTCCATCTGATTAATGGATTGCTGCATACAGTATCCCATTGCTATTTTCTTGGTGACAGTTTTCTTTAAATGTCCAGTTTGTGTGACCTCTTTAATGCTTTAAGAATGCATAGCACTATTTGATGCATAAGATATTAAAAAGAACCTAATCTCTGGAAGCTGTAACCAAAATAGCAAGTAGAGGGCAAAATGACTAGTCACCAGTATTGCCTGTAGACTCCCTGCAGCTGATCTCTTCACCTTTACTGACTAAGCTTGTCCTGTTGTTCTCCCTGTCTCTTTATGGAAGCTATGGGTTTTGCCTCCTCATGTCAAAATAGGCTCCCTGATGACTTATGACCTGGTCACAATTGGGGTAATGATCAAGAAGCAGTAAAAGTACACATGGCACAGAATTAATAAAGCAGAAGCAAATACATTCTTATACTACCACTCCTCAGGCACAGCATTATCTCCAGTCAGAAGAAAAGTGAGCAGCACAGTAGTGACCTCATCAAATCTCACTTCAAGTCTCATGAGACCAGCAGGAAAAGGCACAGTAACATGCCAGGAAATGCACTGATAGTTTTCAGAATTCGTAATTCTTTACTTTTGAGTTCAGGTCCACTTTAAAGAAGGAAATCAAGACTATGTTGCAATTTGCAAATAAGGCTGCCCTAGAAAATGACAGATTTAATCTTATTGGCTAATATACAACTGCAGCTTAAAATCTAAAGAAACAGTTAGACTGTAATTCCAAATGTAGCCAAAAAGGCTTATTTATTTCCATAGCCTTCTCCAGCAAACTTCACTCACAGATAGACCTTACCTAACATATCAAAGTAACACTGCAGTCAAAGACACATTTCTTATGTATTACTTCTCAAATGACAAACCATTTATCTTGGTTTCCAAATGGTTTGCAACATATGTTTGGATGAACTGGGAAAGCTAGAGATAGTTATCTTTAGCCTGAGCACTACATGCTACATGGGTAGCAATAGTAAGCAGGGCCGCCGTCACGGGGGTACGGCCGACATTCAAGTAAGGGGCCCGGGCCGCGTGAGGGGCCCGTGAACCTTACATGAATATCGGCCGGCAGCTGTACAGTTGACTGGCAGTAGGTGGAGGCGGCCGCCCGGGCCCCGCAGCACCGGAGGAAGCCGGGGCCCGCACACTCGAGATCCTCACCTGGTGTTCTCTGTGCAGGCCTCTGGTGCCCCCCTGTCTGTGACTGACTGCACATTACGTTTTTAAAGATGGCTGCCGCGAGTAGCAGCGGCCATCTTTAAACCTGGCAAGTGCCCACAGCTCATTTAATATATTGCCGAAACGGCAATATATTAAATGAAAATCATTCCCTGGTGGTCCAGCGGGGTTGGTGCGGTGCTGCAAGCACTATTTTGATCGCACTGCACCCGAACACACTGCAGGCACAATGTGCCTTGCGATCCCATGCGGGCGATCGCATTGCAGCCGGAGTGCGTGGCTACGGCGCCATTTACTTTAATGGCCCATTGTGCCCCCTCCAGCCTGGCCAAAAAGTGAGCCGGCCGCAATGCGGGCAGTGCGTTCTGGCCAGAATCGGACCAGAACACACTGCTTATGGTGTGAACTAACCCTAAGCCCTGCGTCCAGTAGACATGTGCGATTCATTTTGGAAAAATTAGTTTTCCGGACGAAATTCGTTAGCGGTAGTCTGTACGCATTTTCGTTTGTGGAAGAATTTTCATTGCAGCAAAGTGACAATTAAAAAAAAAAAATATGTCACAATGCTGCAATGAAACGAACGATGCCAACATGAAACGGAAATGAACATTCATACAGACTACAGCTAACGAATTTCGTCCGAATCCCGAAAAATCTAAATCAAAACAAGATGAAACTAAACGTTTTTTTTGCCGGTGCACATGTCTAGTGTCCAGCGGGTGACGAAGCCCTGCGGCCAGCAGGTAATGTGACTGTGGGGGGACATTAGAGTGTAAGCTCCTCTGTACAGAGACTGATGTGACTGTGGGGGGGGAGGGGACATTAGAGTGTAAGCTCCTCTGTACAGAGACTGATGTGACTGTGGGGGGGGAGGGGACATTAGAGTGTAAGCTCCTCTGTACAGAGACTGATGTGACTGTGGGGGGGGAGGGGACATTAGAGTGTAAGCTCCTCTGTACAGAGACTGATGTGACTGTGGGGGGGGAGGGGACATTAGAGTGTAAGCTCCTCTGTACAGAGACTTATGTGACTGGCTCAGTGTTGTTCTCTGTACAGCATTGCGGTATATATATGTCAGAGCTATATAAATGTATAATAATAACAGTGTGACTGGCTCAGCGTGGCGGCGGGGAGGGGGGTTCCCTGGCCTAAAGCCGTGTAAGGGGCCCCTGAATTTCTGAAGGCTGCCCTGATAGTAAGTATATCAAAGAGATGACCAAAAGAAAAAGTCAAGATCCATTTAAAATCAAAAGGAGTCAAAGTACTTTTCTGGATGAGCTCTTCCTGAATTTTTATAGCATTCATACCATTGGAATGTTAAGGTACCCTTGTTCTTGGGAAAAAGGTTTGCCATTGTTAGAAAGGAATGAATGTATTTAGAGAGCAATTAGTGGGGAATTATTAATGTCTTATGGATGCAACTAATTAGGCAAGAAGACTGGATTTATTGGGGGTTGTTAGAAGCTAATGCAGAGTTGTGTAGCATAATTAGCAAAGCATAGACGTGTTTTAATTGGACCTTTAGTAGAAGAATTACAATTCCCAGCAGTATCCCTGACACCTTCCCTACTACTTCTGATTAAGTGCAAATATTTGATATGCTCTTCCCTGTTACCCCTGATGGAATAATCCACATATACAGTATATAGCTGTGCCAAACTGACACTTATTTTGTATAAAGCTTAATGAGTCTTTCCAGATTTGTAGAGGAGGTAGATGATGTTCTCCATTAACTTACTTTCTGGGAAATCCGAGTCTGGTGCTGTCAATCCAAAATGAATTTTGAACCCTTGTGTTTTTTTATTAAATGAGTCTTATGATGAAAACATCAATCCACACAATGCAATACTACAAGGTAAATAAGGATGTCCACCAGCTTATGGTGCAGCCAATGTTCAGAAACACATGAATGTGTACACATCAGTTCTGATTTATTAAAGTAAAGAAGAGTAGAAAATGTTCACCAACTTTATTAAATAAAGTTAAGCAGTACTTATTTTAATCGCACAGTCATCTTTGAAGCAAAATCCAGTCTTTTGAAATTCTACTGCACATGATTGGGTATTCAAAGTGAACACGTGTTTACTTTAACCACTTGCTGCCAGGAGCAAATGCATACTATTTGCACACACAAAAAAATCTGCATTTTTGGCTAGAAAATAGCTTAAAACCCCCAACAATTATATATTTTCTGAAAGCAAAGGCCTTGTAGAATAAACAAATGCTAGTTGCAATTTTCTATGTCGGACGGTATTTGCGCAAATATTTATCAAACCAGTATTTTTAGATTAAAATACACTAAAATGAAATTTAGTGCACAGAAACAAGATATATTTTTGGTAAAATATAAAAAATGGAGTCATGTTGGGTAAATTGATACCAAACATGTCAAGCTTTAAAATTGTGTGCGTCTGTGAAACCGCAAAAAAATACAATACCCAAAATTTCCCATAGGCGACACTTTAAATGATTTTACTGCTCATCAGTTTAGTGTTATCAGAGTGAGAATTATTGCTCTCACTCTGATGTTTGCAGCAATATGTAACATGTGTGGCGCAGTTTTCGGTTTTGTACGTAGGCGCATCCAATGCATGTGTGCATTTGTATGTGTGTGCACGTGGGGGCCAGGGAACTTAATAGCACCTGGGATGTGATAGGTCCTCTTTATGGAGACATCAGGGGTCTTTCACTAGTGTCATTTAGGGACTCCAAAGAAGCTGATGAAGCAGAGAACTCCTTAAACAGCTTCTTCCCCTGGCTATAAGTGCCGGAGAATGTAAACAGTGACACCGGAAGTGATGTAATACATCACTTCGGCTGATATCCTTTCCGATCTGTCAGGGAAGACCTGCTGTGCTGGTCACGGGTCAATACGGGGGTTAATTAGCATGCTTAGGCAACAATCTCTACTTAAGTACATCAAACACACAACATTTGCTTGGATGAGTTCCTCAGTTCACAAAACATATAGGGTTATTGAAATTCCTAGCAGTATACACACACACACACACACACACTATATACAGTAGGTTGAACCTGATAGACCGATGTTTTTATTCAACCTCATGTTAAATGAGCCTGTCTGAAAAATCTCGACTGAACAGCCAACCAGCTGCAGCCAATGTTGAAGTATTCTGATGGTGGCACACTTACCACTGCCAGAAAACAATAGCTCGGTGGGGGGGTTGGGAGGAGAACCATTTAGCGTGGATGGAGGAATCAAGGCTATGGAACTAGCCTTTAGATGGCAGTCAGATTACCAGATTACCAGACTGGGCAAGAATAATCTAATTTACATGCCTAATTTAATATTTTATTATATCTTGAAAAAATGCGGATGCTAAAGATGTGGACGGCACAAACATTATATTTCATTGCATTATCAAGCTAGATTAAGCACAGATAAACAATAGTTTTATTTGATGGCTTTGTTTGGTCTTCAACATCTGACAAGGCTGACTGCCCTTCTGATGTAGCTATAGCAGCTATGCTTGTGGGAAAAGGCAGTGTTAATGAAACATTTCTAGACCAGAACATGAAACTTCCTACTCAACTGTAAAACTTTACTGAAGAACAGTAATTTGGCAAATTTGTCATCTATACCAATCTTATGGAGCTTCTGACAGGCTACGCTTTTAGTAAGACTAATACGAATTTAAAATTAGACACCTCAGCCAGCATCATTTTTTCCTTTCAGTTGAAAATAATGAAGATGAAAGGTGGAGAAAAAAGGTACCTTCTTGACAGTTTCCAACATAGAACGACCGCCTTGCCAAGGCTTCGAGTTCTTCTTGATGCAGGTAAGACTGGCCATGCTGTGCCACTTTCGATCTTCAAGCTTCTTGTGAAAGGCATTAGCTAGTAAGAGCACGGTGTCATAGATATACAGGTTGGTGATCTGTAAAGGATTAAATATTGATCATTAGATTCAGGTTTTGTGGAAGGCTGACAGACCTAAGTTAGAATCATAACATAGTTGCTACTGCTACTTAGGAGCTTATATTGCCGCAAGTAGAGTTCTTGCCTGATTGAAAGAACAATCTTTTTTTCTTTCTAAATTAGGCCTATCAAGTTGTGTCATTTATGATGGAGGGTTCCCTCCTGTAGTATGATAACTACTTTGTTTTCTGCCAACCTTTGAAACTATTTTATAAGAAAAGATGTCATATATAGAATTAAAACAAATAGCATGCTTACTTTGACCCGTGTGATTTCCTGTTTACTAGTGGACTTTTAAAAACAGAATTTCCATCTAGTCCTTCTTTAAAGAGTATGTAAGCCCTAAATCTATTTTTCAGTATGTTTTCCACCATACTTCACTGTATACTGTTTTCCTAAGCAAATTGTTTTTGGTAAATCTGTTGCAAGGTATCTTGCCCAGAGTTCCTGTCAGTAAAGGCACTCCCCGCTGTATGCTGATAACAACAAGCCACTACCTTACTTTTAGCAGAAGAATTGTCAGCATGACAACCAACGAAAGGAGCAGCCGGCTGACAATATTGCTGCTAATTGAGAAACCGAGGTTAACATTGTTTGCCTGCAACAGGAAGTGCTCTTACTGGAGTTATTTCCAAGAAACTTTGTAACAAATTAACAAAAAAAATTACTTAAAACATGTCCCAAAAACAAAAATGAATAAATTGAAGGTTACCAATCCTACCAGTTTTAAGCCTGTTTCCTTTTATTTTCACCTTGTGATCTGGCCAGTACCACACTTCCTATCTAAAGGTGCCCATACACTGCACGATTCTTGTACGAGAATCGTGGGAAATCCCGCGATCGCAAGTACGATCTGCCTGTCCAAGATGGGCAAATCATACGTTTTTAAAAGTACTTTACAACCCTCGCAAGACAAAAGTCTTGCGCTGGTTGTAGAGTGTATGGGCACCTTTAGAGTGGCTACACTCACTCCTCCACTCTCTCTATGGAGGAGCAAAGTATCCATTCTAGGACATCCTCATTCTCAGGCTGTGTTAGATGGACTAGTAGATTTAGATGGACATTCCTTAAGCGACTATTAAATTAAAGCCTAACTCCAGCTGGCAGTTTTTAAGCACTTACAGAAACAGTTATTTTCCTTTCAGGATAATGGTTTCAAATAAATGAATACACGCTGGCCATTGTAAGCACCTCTAGCAGTGTTAAATGTGTTGTCTTAAACCTCTGATACTTTTTCAGGGCAGCATGATCTGTTAAAAAAAGTTGAAAAATTACAGGTAATCAAATTGTGTTACAAGGGGACGTAGGATATGCACACATGGAGGTTAGAACACAAAACAACACCAGACACCTTTCCTAGTGCAAATAAACCTTTTATTGATAAAAATAGGTATACACAAATATACTCACAAAAGAAGCATGGGTTAAAAGCGTCAAATGGACTGATAATCCTTTTGGCTTTTCTACTGCGGATATAAACTGGAGTGATTGAAGGACAATCAAAGAGCTCTGCTTTCTTCACAGAGTCCCACTACCACTGCTGAATGCATTTTCGGGGACACACCCCTTCCTCAGAGCTGAACAGAAAAGTCATCAAGGATTATCAGTCCATTTGGCGCTTTTAACCCATGCTTCTTTTGTTAATATATTTTTGTATACCTATTTTTATCAATAAAAGGTGTATTTGCACCAGGAAAGGAGCCCGGTGTTGTTTTGTTTTCTATGCAGAGCCAGCCATAGGTTTAAAGATCATATGATAACAAATACGCATGATCGAAGAATGGGCTGCAGAATTAGACTCTATCATGATCCTGGAGCAACTAATCACAGAGAAATTCAATAGCATGGACCAATTTACTATCCTGGTCACCTGAATGGTGTTTTGATATTGTGGTAATATGGTACCTAAATAAGGAACTGCACTTCTTCATTCTTGTCATGTGTCGGTAGGGAGGAAACACCCCTCTTTGTACACCTCTTTTATGTCCCCTTCCCCAACCTTTGCAACCTTATTATTTTCTTCTCTATTCTTCTTCTGCCCCAACTCCAACTTCTTGAACTGAGAATGAATACCCTCCTGACCTGGGTTGCATGCTCCATTCCATCTACAACCATATTATAGCAAGAGTCTGTTCACTAAACAGAACTTGTGCAGGCAGGTATTCTCTGTTATGTTTTTGTACTCTCCCAGTAATGTTATTATTCCAGGTTTGGCTCTTTCTCATATACCAATAAACCTGTTTCAGTATTTGCAATATTACTCTGTCTACCACAATATACTTTTAAACACGACAAGCTCGAGTGTTCAGAAATTCTCTATCTACCATTTTGTTAACACAGATTAACATCAATAATAAGAGATGGCATACAAAACACATGATTGACCACACCTTCTTTTGTATGGTAGCCTTTTCATTACCTAAAGCAATGACAGTTAAAATCTATTTTTTCTGTTCAACAATGCTTCCTTTTATTCAAGATTTTATAAACCAGGCTTAATATTAAACACATTATATGGTAATTTTTAAGAAGGCATACCTTAATGATATCCGTCTGACTTTTTTACTTTATCTATGTGAATAAAAATACCTTGTCACCTTTACTATTTTAGTGACATTTATAGGAGTATGACTTTTTTCTGAAGGATCTGTCCAACTGATTTATTACTTTAACTGCTTTCAACAGGAACAAGCTAGCCTATTTATTGTGCTGTAAGAAAAAGTGGGTTCATTAAACCTTTCATTGTTTAAGAGATAGACTATTAATTATGAACTGTTATGCTCTACATCTCTCTTTATTTACTGTACATCTGGGAATAATTGACCCTTTCATTTTTTTTTATGCAAGCTTTCTCCAACATGAAAGATTTGACAAAGGAAGGAAGAATTCTGCTGACTAGCACTAGAGTGTAATCTTGCACATTAACTAAATATTTTGCTTATTTACTTTTAATTAAAAAGCAAGTGCCTGTGGGTAAACACTAATAAAGAATTGCATATATATATATCACCTTGTAAAAATGTAGATAAGATAAAGCAAAAAATAGAGTGGTCAAAAAGTCCCTATATTACACCAGAAACTTAAACCACTGTTTAAAGTCTAAATGAAGTAGAAATAGAAAAAGATACATGTAAGATAGAGATTACTTTTTTTGTTATAGTCCAGTTGTATAGTGGACAGTTGTACTTCACAGTCCAGTAGGCACCAGAGTTTGACCTTACATGCAGTAATCTATCAGACCTGGTAAGACATGCACCCTCTCTCCTTAGCAATACAGGTCTGTGTATGGATGCTTGTGATAAGGGGTGTGACCATTATGTATCTATCCATGCAAAGATCACTAAAAGGAAAAAAGGTAAGTTAAAGGAGAACTATGGGGTCAGGGCTTTTCCCCATAGTTCTCCTAAGGGTAACAGGAGGACACAAACTAGCGTCCTCCACTTCACCCTAAGCTCAGTATACCGCGAGCTACAGCTCGCGGTATACTGAGAGCTGGGACGGATCCCAACATTACTGTCTAGATCCACCCAGCTGCAGGATTGACAGCTGGCTCTGCCTATCTAGAGGCAGAGCCAGCTGTGCCTGCCGCCTCCATGTCCGTTCCGCCAGTCAGCACTGTAGGATCGGGCAGGGGAATCCCTGCAGGGAGCTGTGAGTGACAGTCAGTGCTCTCTGCAGGGATAGATCGAAAAGTGAGCGAGCGGCGCTATGTGTTCGCTCACTTCCCAATCTATTGAGCTAGAACTATGAGGCTGAGTGATTTTCACTCGCCTCATAATTCTCCTTTAAGACATTACCAAATTAAACAATGTTTTAAATCATTTAATGATATTACCAGGGCATGTGTCAATGTGATATAATGTCACTGGTTCACAGCAAATTTATAGAATAAATATTCCTATAACACAAATGGCTTCATTACAGTGCATATGTGAGAGCTACAGTGAGACTGTGAATGCAAAGTAGGTTCTACATTTCTTTTAATCATGTTTGGAAAGTGATAACATTGTTAGAACCCCTGAAGATTTATTTCAAAAAGCAACTCTTATTTATAACTTGTAGGCCAATGTATCTTTTCGTAAAACATAAGATGTCCATCACAGATGTAGTTAAAAGTCACTGGCCTCTAGATAAAATGTAGGACCTGGCAGCCAACCCACAACCCAGGTTATTTTAACAATTACAATGTGATTTAACATGGGACAGATTTCTGTACAGTCCCCCACACATCACTTTGTTGGTGGGGTCTGTACAGCTAGGAAGGGTTAAGCTTGTTCCAGTATTGGGTGGAGGTTTGCACTGCTTTTCTAATTATTACTTCTAAATATATTGATGCAGAATGGGCAAACTGTCTTTCAGCCTCTCTACCTCCAGCCTTGGTGTGCTTTGTGTGGCTGTAACATCTAATATCCTAATTCTAGGGTTAGAGAGTCAACTGGGGTAGGAAGAAGGCATGAAACATGAAATGATTTATGATGTGGGATAGGAAGAAGGCAGCACAAGACAGTTAACTTAGGGAGTGAAAAGTATAAATCTTGCCTTGGATATAAATAATTCCTATCTTTCCATTGAAAACAATATTGTATTGCAGACTATATGTATTTAATGATGGTATGCATGAGCTAGACTAACACATGTTCTAAGGTCTCCCACCCTGGATAAAACTCTTTACCCTTGTTGCTATGTAATTGATGCTCATAATCTGATGTCTGATGTTAATACAAGTGTGTACATCATTCACTCATTATAAGAATTACCAAGGAAACTGAAGGGTTGACTTACTAAAGAAATATGAACTATTTATGTCACAATATTAATGTTCACTTAGCTTAGTAAATATTCACATTGGGGTGGATTTATTAAAGCAGTAGAGCATGCTCCTGCGAGGGAATGTAGCTCACTGATTGTGAAAAAAATAAATTATTTTGCAAAGAATACTCAATCACATGCAGGGGCATG